ATCTCTAGATGTTATTGTTTGATGATGAACTAACTATTCATATTCTTGGGCAAAGGTTATAGTGACTCTCATGACTAGTTAAGCTTTTTTCTTTTATATCAAATTACAGACCTTGAATCATCATAATATATGATTCCTATATAGTTTTACCTGCAAACGTGTTTATATGCTTTTGCACGTCCCTTCACAATGATGATTAGAGGAATCATACCTTTTAATTTGTGTTCCTCAGATAATTGTTCTTGTTATCAATTTCCTCGAACGTTGAGCTAAGCTGAGAAATCCAGATTGGTAATATATAATTAAAATCCCAAAACAGAAGACTTTAGTGATTCACATTGCAAAGAAGTTCATATATACTCTATACCTCCTTGACTTGGTCTCTCAGATTCTCCACTCGCAACCGATTCTCTGATCTGAACCTCTCCACATTTTTCATGAAATCATTCATCTCGGAGCATTTCAGCTTGTAATACTTTTCCCTCTCTTTGTCTAACTCCTTTAACTCTTCAACCTCGCTCTTTACCGTCCTATATAATTAATTCAGCTATAAAACACATTGATTGACATGATAACTATGAGTACATCAATACCAACCTCAGTTGCTGAATAGAGCAGTGGTATTTGGAATCGAGATCGTGGATGGCAGATCTGAGCAATGTGATCTTGAGGTTTTGTGCTGCGATCTTCTGGTCGAGCATCAAACATTTACGTTCTATGGATTGTATGCTTGCGTGCTTGGTTGCTAATATCTGTGATTTTTCAATTTGTAGCTCCTTCTCCGCCTAATCAAAATAATTAAATCAAAATTATAGGTACGGATCATCATCGACCATTAGATCTCCGTTGAAATTGAAATGAAGCGATTCTATCAGTTTCACACTCGGAAGATAGTTTAAATCAGTAGCGAACACTGAAACTCGATGATGGAATTAAACGAATTGAGAAGCTATGGATCGTGAAATTGATCGATGGATTGGTTTGGTACCTGGAGAAGATGGAGTCGCTGGTTTCTGGTAAACTCCATTTGATCTAGTCTCTCCTTAAAAGCTGCAGAAAGCGCCATTGCTAGAGAGAGAGAGAGAGAGAGAGAGAGAGAGAGAGAGACGAGCGAATTTGAATTTTGGAGGTTGTTGGATTGGAATAAGGGAGAAAGCAAAGAGTAAATATACTGGCACTGTTAGTTAAGGCCCATAAGCCCATTAAGCATTTTCAAGTTTAAGTGATTGCAGTGGCATGTTCTTGTGCACGGCCACAGTTCAGGGAAGAAGTAGTTGATCAAATGTCAATACCGCCCCTTTCTGTTTTATAAAATTTCTGAACGAAAACTAGTGTATGTGATTATGGAAGTTGTCAATATAAAATGTAAAAAAGTCACAGTGTGTCATCATTTCACGAAAACTAACAAAACAGTAACAAAACGTTTCACAGTACTAAAAATAAAAATAATTTTAGATAACAAACATATTTAAAGTTTTCCGTCAATTAGATTAGAGTATCTCTAATCCCATTCCAAACTCTATTTTGCAGTAAAATCATTTCCAACCCCATTCTAAAACCCACTCCAAAATGAAATAATAGACATGATTACTCCAAAATGGAGTTAAACTTTTTTTATTTATAAAATAGTCCTCCACATTTAAATATTTTAGTTTTTAATAAAATATTATTATAAATAAGTAGATTAATATTATTTTATTATATATATTATAAAAGTTACTATTGATATTTTTTTAATCATATAAATAGCCTTCTAATGAACTATTTTATGCAACAAAATATATATAATATAAAACATAAAAGATCATACATATAAAAAATAAAACATAGGCATACAAAAAAAAATACATAAAATAAAACTTATAACAAATATAATTGTTTAATAATCCGGCAAATCATTGTGTTTTAGCTATGTAAGGTAATTTTTAATGTAATAAAATTTTCTTTTTAAAACTTTGTCGATTAATTTTATTTATATAATAAAAAATTAATTTTGGTTAATATTATATTTAATAGAGTTGTTCCAAACTAAAAATGGACTGTTATGAAAATAGTATAAATGAAAGGTGATATTACTAACTTTTAAATAAATATAAAATATAATATATTAAAAATATTCTATTTTGGAGTGAAAAATGGAGTAATACATTGGAGTAAAACTCAACTTCATCTTGGAGTTACTCCATTTTAGAGTAGAAAATGGAGTAATACATTGGAGATGCTCTTATAACTCCAGTTTTTACTGTAAAAGTTTATATACATTTTTAATGAATTGTTTTAAAAATATCCTATGTATGTTATATACTTATATATAACTAAAAGTAAAATATAATTATTATTTTTCATAGTTGTGTATTGCATAGAAAAACAGTGGCGGAGGGAGGTAGGGAGTGAGGGGGCGAGGGGGGGAGGCAGCTGCCCCTGTAAAATACTGAAATAATTATTTTTTCCTCGCTTTTTTGAGAATTATATGATTTTAATGGTCAATTTTCTTCTAATGTCTCCTATAAATTGAAGATAAGTTTTACATTGCCTCCGGTAAAACTTTCGTCTGGCTCCGTCACTATAGAAAAGGATATACAAATTATGTATATATAATTTAATCTCTTATATATTATTTGAGATAAATTACAACATTTGAGGTAGTCATGTGTCATAATCAAAATAATTCTTAGAATTCTTAGAGAAATAGATTAGTCTGTTTGAATATATACTAAAAAATTTTATTAAATTAACCACAAAATTTACTAAGAAGTCAATTAAGTGATTTTTGCTTATGTATCGCTTATATGTGAAGTGATAAAAATTATTGTAATATGCATGATTGATGACTTTCATTAGGTATTTATTTTCATGAAATCTAAAAAAGTAACTCTAGAACTAATTAATACAAATACAAAATCACACAATGAATATTACAAATAATAATTTATGGTAACTAAGTACAGAACTATAGAAAGAATATAATATTTTAACAATTTGTTTATTTTATCAATTATTTATATATAATTAGATAAAATACTTTAACGTTTTTATAGAAATAGATAGAATGATTTTATATTTTGATATAAATAATTAGATTTGTAGGTAAGGAATTATTAGAGCTTTTTATGTTTTTAAAGCATACACCAAAAATGTTTACAAGAGATTTTCATTATAAAAATCTATTTTGAAGACTAGAGTATTTTCATTGTTCACGTGTTAAAATAAAAGATAAATTTGGGGGAGATTGGTTTGACTATAAGGGCATGATTATTGGAGGGTTTTTCAGGGTGGACTTATTACCGTAATATAAGAACCGTCTCTTAAATTTTAACTAAGAAAAACTAAAAACGGACTTTTAAATACGAGTTTTAAGACGGTTCTTAATTTTTCTTAGTTAATATTAAGAGACGATTCTTATATTACTAAAAACCTCATCCTACGAACTCCTAATAAACATGGCCTAACTGTAGAAACTTTATTGTAGAATTTAGTTTGTAGAATTTTTTTATTATAGTTGTATATAATGTAGGTGTAGAAATTAAATGAGAAAATATTAAAAATATATATTCTTACAGAAATCCTACAACAATATTTTTTTGTTTTAAAAAATAAGGTTTTTACAGTCATTTACTTTTTTATTATTTTGGCTTTAGCTTTAAAAACTATTTAAAACTTAATTGATGATTTATATTGTTGTAGATATAAAATAAAACTAAAGTCACTAGTTATAGCCTAACCTATCACTTTCAAAGTAATTCTACAACCAATTATTTTAATTAATTACTAGAGTTTTATCCGCACATTCGTGCGGGTATTATTTTATTTTATAAATGTTTAACTTTGATATTATCGTAAATATTTTAGATATGATATTTATATTTTAGTGTTATATATTATGTAACTCCTTAGTCTTATTGCTTAGGTTTCTTATTACATTTGATATCTAGTAATTTATTTTACCTTTTTATTAACTGTTAATATATTTCATCTTTAGTAAAATAATTTACAATCTGAAATAAACAATCAATTATTTTTTTAAATATGATTTTTGAAAATATATAGTTGTCGATGAATTTTTTTTACATATATTAATAACTTTATTTTCTTGTAGAAGAATATTACATAGTTAACAAATTTTAACATGTTTTAATGGTAGATAATAATTTAATAAAATAAAAATATTTTTTAAAAAATAATTAGTTCAATTTACCAATTTAATATATTTTTTCATATTTAATTTATATAATAATTTTATTTTAATATATTAGAAATTATAACAAAAATTATATAAAACTATATTTTTATTCTTGTTTCACAATAAACTTAATTAATATGAATTTATTAACGGATTATTAATTACGAAATAATTTGATGCTTTAATTATATACTAAAAAAAAAAAAAGTTTAATAAGATTTTGTTAGATTTTGTATTACCAGATTTTGTTATAGCTAAAAATAAAATTTAAATTTATAGTTAGAACAAATTCATTATTTGTTTTTATTCATTATAATGTCATATTATGTAACTAATAAAAATAGATTTATTAAGACTTTTATATAGTAGATAAAAAAAGTTATTCTATTTTATTTTTTTGACGGCAAGTGAGTAGATAATATTTTTTTTTTTTTAAGATAATATTACTTTTTTTTTTAAGATAATATTACTTTTTGATGAAAGCTATATATATATAAATAAACAATTAAAGTTAGGGTTGTTGTGCGTTTGTCTCTGATATTGTAGGATAGTTTGAGGATGTCGTCTAAAACTAGGTCAAAGAAGGAGCAATCTTCAGAACCGCCGTCCCTGATCCCATCACTTCCCGAAGACATCATCCTTGACATCTTAGCACGTGTGCAGAGTTGCTACTATCCAATACTCTCCCTTGTTTCCAAGCACTTCCGATCACTTGTTACCTCTAATGAGCTATACGCAAGAAGATCACTGTTAGGATGCACGGAACACCGTCTCTACGTTGTCCTCTTTAATCGAGAAAACGGTAATCGCCAGTTGTATTGTCTCCGCCGGAAAGCCAACGGCAGTCACAGCTTGGTCCTTATCCCTTCGCTTTCCAAATATATGCGTTGCCAGAGAGGTTTTGTCGCGGTGGGCTCGAGGATATACGTGTTTCGTAGTTTGAACTCAGTTCCACCGAATGCGATAAGCATTGACTGTAGATCTCAAACGGTGCACCTCCTGCCTAGTATGAATATAAACATGTATGTAACAGTTGCTGACATCATTGACGGGAAAATATATGTAACTGGATACTATAACAATTTGGATCATGTCATAGTGTTCAATACAGAAACACAAATGTGGGAGCCTATGAAAACAATGCCAGAGACACCGATGGGTTACATACGGCCTGGTGATTGTGTGGTGATGGCTGGTAAGATGTACACTAAGGATCAAATTAACAGCTTTGTTTACAAGCCAAAGGAAAATAAATGGGAAAGTGACAAGATGCTGAATATGTTCAATTGGGTGGGTTCGTGTGTCGTTGATGACGTATTGTATTGCTACGATTGTGGTTGGAAGGTGCTGAGAGCTTATGACCCAAAAGAGAGTAGCTGGGTGGTGGTGAAGGGTTTGGAAGAATTGTTGGCTGAGGCGAGAGATTCAAACTGGACTGACACTAGGAATTACGGTGGGANAGTGACAAGATGCTGAATATGTTCAATTGGGTGGGTTCGTGTGTCGTTGATGACGTATTGTATTGCTACGATTGTGGTTGGAAGGTGCTGAGAGCTTATGACCCAAAAGAGAGTAGCTGGGTGGTGGTGAAGGGTTTGGAAGAATTGTTGGCTGAGGCGAGAGATTCAAACTGGACTGACACTAGGAATTACGGTGGGAAACTGGCTATGCTTTTTTCGAAAACAAAAGTTATTCGGTGTGCGGTGATTTCACTAGAAAGACGTCAAGGTAAGGAGATTTGGGGTAAAGTTGAGTGGTGTGAAGATGTTTTGGTTGGTGGTGATTTTTACTTTGTGAAATCTCTAGATGTTATTGTTTGATGAACTAACTAATCCATATTCTTGGGCAAGGGTTTTAGTGACTCTCATGACTAGTTAAACTTGTTTTTTTTCATATCAAATTACAAACCTTGAATCATCATAACATATAATCCATATATAGTTTTACCTGCAAACGTGTTTATATGCTTTTGCACGTCCCTTCACAATGATGATTAGAGGAATCATACCTTTTGATTTGTATTCCTCAGATAATTGTTCTTGTGATGTATTTCCTCGAACGTTGAGCTAAGCTGAGAAATCCAGGTTGGTAATATATAATTAAAACCCCAAAACAGAACACTTTAGTGATTCACATTGCAAAGAAGTTCATATATACTTTATACCTCCTTAACTTGGTCTCTCAGATTCTCCACTTGTAACCGATTCTCTGATCTGAACCGCTCCACATTTTTCATAAACTCATTCATCTCGGAGCATTTCAGCTTGTAATACTTTTCCCTCTCTTTGTCTAACTCCTTTAACTCTTCAACCTCGCTCTTTACCGTCCTATATAATTAATTCAGCTATCAAACCCATTGATTGACATGATAACTATGAGTATATCAATAACCAACCTAAGTTGCTGAATAGAGGAGTGGTATTTGGAATCGAGATCGTGGATGGTAGATCTGAGCAGTGTGATCTTGAGGTTTTGTGCTGCGATCTTCTGGTCGAGCATCAAACATTTACGTTCTATGGATTGTATGCTTGCGTGCTTCGATGCTAACATCTGTGATTTTTCAATTTGTAGCTCCTTCTCTGCCTAATCAAAATAATTAAAGCAAAATTAAAGGTACGGATCATCATCGATCAGAGATCTCCGTTGAAATTGAAATGAAGCGATTCTATCAGTTTCACACTCGGAAGATAGTTTAAATCAGTAGCGAACACTGAAACTCGATGATGCAAATATTGAACGAATTGAGAAGCTATGGATCGTAAAATTGATCGATGGATTGGTTTGGTACCTGGAGAAGATGAAGTCGCTGGTTTCTGGTAAACTCCATTTGATCTAGTCTCTCCTTGAAAGCTGCAGAAAGCGCCATTGCTTGAGAGAGAGAGAGAGACGAGCGAATTTGAATTTTGGAGGTTGTTAGATTGGAAAAAGGGAGAAAGCAAAGAGTAAATATACTGGCACTGTTAGTTAAGGCCCATAAGCCCATTAAGCATTTTCAAGTTTAAGTGATTGCTGTGTGCATGTTCTTGTGCACGGCCACAGTTCAGGGAAGAAGTAGTTGATCAAATGTCAATACGCCCCATTTCTCTTTCTTATAAAAATTTCTGAATGAAAACTAGTGCATGTGATTATGGAAGTTGTCAATATAAAATGTAAAAATGTCACAGTGTGTCAACATTTCACGAAAACTAACAAAACAGTAACAAAATGTTTAACAGTAATAAAATTAAAAATAATTTTAGATAACAAACATAAACATATTTAAGGTTTTCCGTCAATGAGATTATAACTCCAGTATTTACTGTAAAAACTGATATACATTTTTAATAATTGTTTTTAAAATATCATATATATGTTTTATATATAACTAAAAATAAAATATAATTATTAATTTTAGTTAGTTGTGTATTGCATAGAGTGGGGGAGGGAGGGGAGGAGGGGGGCAGCTGCATCTATAAAATACTAAAATAATTATTTTTTCCTTGTTTATTTGAGAATTATATGATTTTAATGGTGAATGTTCTTCTAATGCCCCCTATAAATTGAAGATAAGTTTTACATTGCTTCCGGTAAAACTTTTGTCTGGCTCCATCACTATAGAAAAGGATATACAAATTATGTATATATAATTTAATCTCTTATATATTACTTGAGATAAATTACAATATCTGAGGTAGCCATGTGTCATAACCAAAATAATTCTTATAATTTTTAGAGAAATAGATTAGTCCGTTTGAATATATACTAATTTTTTTATTAAATTAACCACAAAATTTACTAAGAAGTCAATTAAATAATTTTTGCTTATGTATCGCTTATATGTGAAGTTATAAAAATTATTATATTATGCATGACTGGTGACTTTCATTAGGTATTTATTTTCATAAAATCTAAAAAAGTAACTCAAGAACTAATTAATACAAATACAAAATCACACAATGAATATTACAAATAATAATTTATGGTAATTAAGTACAGAACTGTAGAAAGAATATAATGTTTTAACAACTTTTTATTTTATCAATTATTTATATATAATTAGATAAAATACTTTAACGTTTTATAGAAATAAATAGAATGATTTTATATTTTTATATAAAGAATTAGATTTGTAGGTAAGGAATTATTAGAGCTTTTATGTTTTTAAAGCATACACCAAAAAAGTTTACAAGCCTTGGCCACAACGGATTGAACATCCCTTCTGTTGGGGCGCGGACCCCTTTCGGGGGGATAGTTGGGAATGTGGCTGTTCAGATATCAGAGTTATCAACAAAAAAAAATTAAAAAAAATTTTAGATAACAAACATATTTAAGGTTTTCCGTCAATTAGATTATAACTCCAGTTTTTACTGTAAAAACTGATTTACATTTTTAATGAATTGTTTTAAAAATATCCTATGTATGTTATATATATATATATCTAAAAATAAAATATAAGTATTAATTTTCTTAGTTGTGTATTATATAGAAAAGCAGTGGCAGAGGGAGGTAGGGAGTGAGGGGGCGAGGGGGGGAAGCCCCTATAAAATACTGAAATAATTATATGATTTTAATGGTGAATTTTCTTCTAATGTCTCCTATAAATTGAAGATAAGTTTTACATTGCCTCCGGTAAAATTTTCGTCTGGCTCCATCACTATAGAAAAGGATATACAAATTATGTATATATATAATTTAATCTCTTATATATTATTTGAAATAAATTAAAACATTTGAGTTAGTCACGTGTCATAACCAAAATAATTCTTAGAATTCTTAGAGAAATAGATTAGTCCGTTTGAATATATACTAAATTTTTTTATTAAATTAACCACAAAATTTACTAAGAAGTCAATTAAGTGATTTTTACTTATGTATCGCTTATATGTGAAGTTATAAAAATTATTGTAATATGCATGATTGATGACTTTCATTAGATATTTATTTTCATGAAATCTAAAAAAGTAACTCTAGAACTAATTAATACAAATACAAAATCACACAATGAATATTACAAGTAATAATTTATGGTAACTAAATACAGAACTATAGAAAGAATATAATATTTTAACAATTTGTTTGTTTTATCAATTATATATATATATATAATTAGATAAAATACTTTAAGGTTTTTATAGAAATAGATAGAATGATTTTATATTTTGATATAAATAATTAGATTTGTAGGTAAGGAATTATTAGAGCTTTTTATGTTTTTAAAGCATACACCAAAAATGTTTACAAGAGATTTTCATTATAAAAATCTCTGATCATTGTACTGGTTTTATTGAAGCTACACACAAAAAAAATATATTCTATTTTGAAGGCTAGAGTATTTTCATTGTTCACGTGTTAAAATAAAAGATAAATTTGGGGGCGATTGGTTCGACTATAAGGGCATGATTATTGTAGGGTTTTTCAGGGTGGACTTCTTACCGTAATATAAGAACCATCTCTTAAATTTTAACTAAGAAAAACTAAAAACGGACTTTTAAATAAGAGTTTTAAGACGGTTCTTAATTTTTCTTAGTTAAAATTAAGAGACGATTCTTATATTACTAAAAACCTCATCCTACGAACTCCTAATAAACATGGCATCACTGTAGAAACTTTATTGTAGAATTTAGTCTGTAGAATTTGTTATTATAGTTGTATATAATGTAGGTGTAGAAATTAAATGAGAAAATATTAAAAATATATATATATATATATTCTTACAGAAATCCTACAACAATATTCTTTTTTTGTTTTAGAAAATAAGGTTTTTACAGACATTTACTTTTTTATTATTTTGGCTTTAGCTTTAAAAACTATTTAAAACTTAATTGATGATTTATATAGTTGTAGATATAAAATAAAGCTAAAGTCACTAGTTATAGCCTAACTTATCACTTTCAAAGTAATTCTACAACCAATTATTTTAATTAATTACTAGAGTTTTATCCGCACATTCATGCATGTATTATTTTATTTTATAAATGTTTAACTTTGATATTATCGTAAATATTTTAGATATGATATTTATATTTTAGTGTTATATATTATGTAACTCCTTAATTTTATTGCTTAGGTTTCTTATTACATTTGATACCTAGTAATTTATTTTACCTTTTTATTAACTGTTAATATATTTCATCTTTAGTAAACTAATTTACAATCTGAAATAAAAAATTAATTATTTTTTTAAATATGATTTTTGAAAATATATAGTTGTCGATGAATTTTTTTTACATATATTAATAACTTTATTTTCTTGTATAAGAATATTACATAGTTAACAAATTTTAACATGTTTTAATGGTAGATAATAATTTAATAAAATAAAACTATTTTAAAAAAATAATTAGTTCAATTTACCAATTTAATATAATTTGTCATATTTAGTTTATATAATAATTTTATTTTAATATATTAGAAATTATAACAAAATTTATATAATTTTTTATTCTTGTTTCACAATAAACTTAATTAATATGAAGTTAATAACAGATTATTAATTACAAAATAATTTGATGCTTTATTTACTAAAAAAAATAAAAAAAGTTTAATAAGATTTTGTTAGATTTTCTATTACCAGATTTTGTTATAGCTAAAAATAAAATTTAAACTTTTAGTTAGAACAAATTCATTATTTGTTTTTATTCATTCTTATTTCATATTATGTAACTAATAAAATAGATTTATTAAGATTTTTGTATAGTAGATAAAAAAAGTGACTCTATTTTTTCTTTTTCCTAAGAGGACAGATAACTTCTTTATTATTATAGATAGATAGATAATATTACTTTTTATAAGAAACATGTTAGATTGTGTAGTTGATGAAAGCTATATAAACAATTAAAGTTAGGGTTGTTGTGCGTTTGTCTCTGATATTGTAGGATAGTTTGAGGATGTCGTCTAAAACTAGGTCAAAGAAGAAGCAATCTTCAGAACCGCGGTCCCTGATCCGGTCACTTCCCGAAGACATCATCCTTGACATCTTAGCACGTGTGCAGAGTTGCTACTATCCAATAATCTCCCTTGTCTCCAAGCACTTCCGATCACTTGTTACCTCTCATGAGCTATACGCAAGAAGATCACTGTTAGGATGCACGGAACACCGTCTCTACGTTGTCCTCTCTAACGGAGAAAACGATGATCGCCAGTTGTATAGCCTCCGCCGGAAAGCCAACGGCAGTCACCGCTTGGTCCTTATCCCTTCGCTTCCCAATATTCGTGCCGATGGAAGCGCAATTGTCGCGGCGGGCTCGAGGATATACGTGTTTGGTAGGTTGAACTCGGAGAAGATAAGCATTGACTTTAGATCCCAAACGGTGCATCCCTTGTCTTGTATGAATGTAAACATGGATGTTTCAGTTGGTGGCATCATTGACGGGAAAATATATGTAACTGAATATTATAAAACCCCATGGAGTACATTAGCAAAGAAGGCCATTGTGGTGTTCAATACAGAAACACAAATGTGGGAGCCTATGAAGGAGACACCGATTGGTTACATACGGCCTGATGATTGTGTGGTGATGGGTGGTAAGATGTACACTAGGGATCATATTAACAGCTTTGTTTATGAGCCAAAGGAAAGTAAATGGGAAAGAGACGAGATGCTGAATATGTTCAATTGGGTGGGTGCGTGTGTCGTTGATGACGTATTGTATTACTACGATCGTCGTCGTGGTGAGAAGGTGCTGAGAGCTTATGACCCAAAAGAGAGTAGCTGGGTAGTGGTTAATGGTTTGAAAGAATTGTTGGCTGAGGCGAGAGATTCAAACTGGACTGACACTAGGAATTACGGTGGGAAACTGGCTATGCTTTTTTCGAAAACAAAAGTTATTCGGTGTGCGGTGATTTCACTAGAAAGACGTCAAGGTAAGGAGATTTGGGGTAAAGTTGAGTGGTGTGAAGATGTTTTGTCTGGTGGTGATTTTTACGTTCTGAAATCTTATTGTTTGCTGAACTAACTAATCCATATTCTTGGTCAAAGGTTTTAGTGACTCTCATGACTAGTTAAGCTTATTGTTTTTCTATCAAATTACAAACCTTGAATCATCATAAAACATATAATCCATATGGTTTATTTGCAAACGTGTTTATATGCTTTTGCACCTCTCTTCATGATGATGGTTAGAGGAATCATACCTTTAATTTGTATTCCTCAGATAATTGTTCTCGACTTGTAACCGGTTCTCTGATCTGAACCGCTCGAAGTTTTGCATAAACTCATTCATCTCAGAGCATTTCAGCTTGTAATACTTTTCCCTCTCTTTGTCTAACTCCTTTAACTCTTCAACCTCGCTCTTTGCCGTCCTATATAATTAATTCAGCTATCAAACACGTTGATTGATAGGTGAATAAAAGAGAAGGAAGCATAGGCAACCAAAAATACATCAATAGATTCCGTAGTCATAAACCCACTCAGAAAAAGAAAAAAAAGATTCCGCAGTCATCACAATAAAAACCAATGCAACAACACACGCCACAATAGACAAGGAGTAAACATACCAGATACATACAAGTGAACTTACTCTTTATTCACTTCACTTGATCGCAATGGATTTGTACTTTTGAACAGTGCTTGTTATAGCCTGCTCTACAGGTAGCCTTTCCATGCTTGATGCTCCATAGAATCCATGAACACAACCTTTTGTTCTCTTCAACACATACTCTGCCTCCTCTGGTCCCGATATCGGACCTACCATACACACACTGACACACACACATATTTTGGTAAAACGAAGACTGGGCTAATTAATTAAAATGGTACCTAATATTTGATCGAGTCAAGGAGGAAAGCTCAATCTTAGATTTTTTTTTTCCGCTGCCTCTGTTAACCTTTGAAGTGCTTGCTTGTCTTTCAAAAGATCAACAAAAATGTCTTTATTTTTCTTAAGTTTTGAAGCAAGCCAATCTACAACTCTCTGCATTTGCAATTTGTTGCAAAAAGTTATGTGTGATTCAGAATCACTTTTTTTTTTTTTTTTGATAAGGTACTTCGTCATGTGTGGTTTAGCTCTAACCTTATCAAAATCATCGCCACCCAAATGTGTATCACCACACACCTTCATCAACTTCAAGAACTGCACAACAAAATACATATCCCCAGATGTTAATACAACAAGTCCGTAGAAACCCAGAAAAAAATATATTAGAGAATATTAGGAACAGTTAGAGTTACCTGAGACATCAAAAGTATCACCACCAAGATCAAAGACAAGAATTGTTTCTTTGCTTTTCCTTTCAAAACCATAGGCCAAACAAGCAGCACGGGGCTCATATTTCTATTGGAATGCACTAACAGAAAATAACACTACGTCAATTAGAAAGAAAAAAATAGTATGGTGCTTCCTAGATCAACATTTTTAAAAACTTCAAAATGTTCAAAACTTATAAATACAGTTTTCAACTAATAGATTTTAACAAACTAATTATGGGTACAATTTATTTTTTTGAAAAAAACTAAATTTAATAATTCAAATTTACGTTTCAAAGTTGCCCACTCGCACAAGCGCGTGAAAACACCAACGCGCTCGACTTACTGATAAGTAGCCTTTGGGATTGTTTGATTTTAAGATATTTTTTTAAAAAACAACGCGTTTAGCACAAAACGACGTCGTGTTTCATACTCTCAAATGTTTAGCACAAAACGACGCCGTTCCTCCTTCTCAAAGTGTGTTCCCATTTTAGCATAAAACCACTCTCTTTTTAGGCGTTTAAGCACTTTGCCTAAAAGCATATGAAAAATGAGAGATGTGGAGATTACCAAAAACACATCAAACTCCTCCATTGCTCGAATTGGAGCCTCAGTCATATCGTGAAGTGCTAATGGAAAGCCTAGAGTCGAGAAAGACCGTTCTCCACCTGCAATTTTATGACATCAAGTGGGATTTTGATCAAACTCTCAAGCTGCCTAGACTCTTATTGGAGGAAACTTAGCAATCAGATAGTCAAATGTAGGAGAAAACATACACTCTTATAAATTTCTACACTCTTCGTTTAAGTTTCATCTTCAAGAGCATTTAAACAATTAATCTCATGTGTTGAAACGATGTTTAGAACACCTTTGTACTAAGTTTCAAATGTGAGACATGGATGTTCTAAAGAGAGTAGAGAGGCAGACCTGAAAGCCCTCTAGTGTCTCGAACACCGCTGCTTGATGCATCTTAACCTGTTGAAGAATACAATATGACATCAACTACGAGTAAAATAATATGGACACTTCAAATGCAAAATGTAGCATTATGGGGCTAATTACCTCTATGGACAAAGTTTTGTCTTCATAAGAGACTTTGTTTCGTCCGCTAATTCCTTTCTTTCCTAAATGATAGTTGAAACTGCTTTGAACATCTGCAGTTGTACCTATGGATCGTAAAATTGATGGATGGATTAGTTTGGTACCTGGAGAAGATGAAGTCGCTGGTTTCTGGTAAACTCCATTTGATCTAGTCTCTCCTTGAAAGCTGCAGAAAGCGCCATTGCTTGAGAGTCCAGAACCCTGAGAGAAGAGACGAGACTATTTGAATTTTGGAGGTTGGATTGGTGGAATACGCGAGAAAGTAAAGTAAAATTATACTGGCACAGTTAGCTAAGGCCCATAAGCCCATTAAGCCTTTTCAAGTTTGAACTGATTGCAGTGTGTATGTCGCCACAGTTCAGGGAAGAAGTAGTTGAACATGTCAATACGCCCCTTTTTTTTTATAAAAAGTTCTGAACGAAAACTGGTGTATTTGATTATGGAAATTGTCAATAAAAAATGTAAAAAAGTCCCAGTGTGTCATCATTTCACGAAAACTAACAAAAACAGAAATAAAACGTTAAAAAAAGGTAAAACGAGCGGTTAAAAGATAAAAATTACTGACAGAGTTGTTCAACAGCAGTGACGATCTGAGCAGGCTGAACAACAGTCCATTCCTCGAGTGTACCAGCGTAAGGTGTTGGAACATCCTGAGAAGACAGACACATCACCGGGGCATCCAAGTAATCATGAAAGTTCTCGTTTATTGCTGCCGTCAAACTCGCTCCTATCCCTCCCGTTCTCATACACTCCTCCACTATCAAAACCCTGTGCGTCTTCTTCACCGAGTTCCCAATCGTGTAGAGATCAAACGGCTTCAACGACCTGATATCAATAACCTCTGGATCATACCCTTTGTTCACCAACGTCTTTGCAGCCTGCATTACATGGTACCTGAAGATACACATGTATTTTATTATTTTATAGCAATGTTGTGATTGATTCATTACATGGTTGTGATTCATTTACCTCATTCTTGAATACGTTAGGATAGTGATGTGTTCACCGGGTCTGACCATTTCAGCTTCTTCTAGGTTACAAATGTATTCTTCGTCAGGGATACTCTCCTTGAGGTTATAAAGCAGAACATGTTCAAACAGAATCACAGGATTCTCGCTTCTTATAGCTGCTTTCATCAATCCTTTAGCGTTGTAAGGTGTTGAACACGCCACCATCTGGATCCCAGGGATTGACTGAAAGTAAGACTCAAGCCGCTGGGAATGCTCAGCTCCGAGCTGCCGGCCCACACCACCAGGCCCACGGATTACAACAGGGATAGTGAACTGACCACCGGATGTGTAGTGAAGCATGCCGCAGTTGTTGGAGATTTGGTTGAAGGCTAAGAGTAGAAACCCCATGTTCATACCTTCGATGACGGGTCTAAGTCCTGTCATGGCGGCTCCAATACCCATGCCAGTGAAGGCGTTCTCACAGATGGGAGTGTCGAGAACCCTGAGATCGCCGAATTTGTCAGCTAGGCCTTTGGTTACTTTGTATGAGCCTCCGTAGTGGCCTACGTCTTCACCCATGACGCAAACATGTGGATCTCTGTCCATCTCTTCCTCTAGACCTTCTTGAAGTGCCTCAAAAAGCAACAGCTCATGTCTACAGAAGTTTTACAGCTAAAACAAGTTATCCTTATGTTGCGGAAAAAAGGTTAAAGCTAACATGGAAGTAGGTTCAGCATACAGACTCAGTCAAGAGCAAGAGATGTGCTACTTCGAACAAGTACTCCATAAGTGAAATACCATCTAAATCATCTCATTGTAAAAGCTTCTACCTAATCCTACTAAATTAGATTCTTTCTCTATTCATTTACCATGAGAACCATGGAAAAAAATTAACTAGAAGCAGAGACCTTTGCCTTCACTATTAAAACTTTCTATGATCAATTTGAAGGATACTACCAATTGTAGAGTCTCCATGTATGGTTCTCTACAACAGAGACTCTAAACTAATCAACAATTAGCCTGGAACTACATAATCCAGCATGATGAATCTAACCAAAAGAATGTTGAAGCAGTATCATCATAGATCTAATGCATTATGAGATCAAGAGCCTGAGTTAACTGCCAAAACTAGACCAATGCATGAGATCATCAAATCACCCTTAGCATATAAGTAATTTAAGTAGCAAAAAGGAAGAAGAATCATACCCAGACTTCGATGACGTGGAGCTCTCAGCATTGTCCGTCTTCTTCGTCTACAATAACAAATGCAAAATCACATCACAGATCCGTTTTGGTATAGAGAGAAAGAGAAGGCGAAGGATAAAACTCATACCGCAACAGCATTTGGTATCAACGGTGGCTGAGAGCGACGAGCAATGAGGCGAGAGCCAAAGCTCTTACTCCAATCAGATCTGCTCCTCACTGCATAACACTGATAATATCTTATCAAACTCATCACAAAGCGGAGAGTACAGATCGTTCTCATCGAAAAACTAGAGAGGGCGCGAACCTGAAAGAGATGAGCGGGAAGGAGCCGTCACGAGTTTGTTGGAATCGGTAGTTTTAAACGGCGATAGAGCCGTTGATGCCACGCCTCCTTGGAGTATCGCTGACATTTTCCCGAGAAAAATCAAAGAGACTGGAAAATAATAACACGAAAACAGAAAAGAGTGAAGAAGAGCGGAGAAATCGAAGAACACAAAAAAAAACGTGAAAAGTGTGGAGTCGTGTATTTTACATAACCAGTGTGTGGTTTAGCTCAATTTTTTTGGTTTAGCTCAATTTCTAATTTTATTTTGGGTTTGTTACCTCTTACAATACAACAACTATTATGAGTTTTCTTACTTTGTAGATGCATCGTGTATCTCGGATAAGCAACGAGCCTGTGATAGGTGTTGGTTCTTTTTTTAACAAAGGAAGCCAGCCATTTTTAAAGGAACAACTTCTATCAACGCTGCATACTACATTCCTACTACAGCTTCAGAAGTGGTAGAGAGTGTATAGCCAGCCGTAAGAGATGTTCTTCATCAAGTGACCAATCTTGGCTATCAGAGAGCCATTTTCCCTTTGAGGTCGCAAAACTCTTGTGTCAATTGCTTCAATCTTTTGGTTAAGAACTTCAAATTCATTTCTATCTTTTTCTTTTGTTATAAACACAAAAAAAAAAATATATATATATATATCAAATTTGTAGGTCGATTTTTGGCTCCCACGTACGAATCTTGTAGTTATGAATATTCAGATTTATTGTGTTTCGAAAAATCTAAAGCTGTGACTGATTAAGATTTAAGATAAATTAATTATACTTGTTCTTTATGCAGTTTGTGAATCTTAGAACTTTCAATATGTGAACTTGAATCTTGCTAACAGCATTCACAATCTTTTATGCATGCATTATTAGTCCATCCGTTAGATTTTTCTATTATTTCTCATAATCTAGATTTGTCTATTGTTTCTGATATTCTGTTCGGTCTTATTTAGGAAAAGTGATTCATTGCCAATGATGTTTAGTCTAGATGCAAAGAATGTCGATGGATCACTGTTGAAAGTTGAAACCTTCTGAAAAATGAAATTTATTTTAAGATCTAGAGTAAATGCAACAAAATAATGGTCAGTCCAGAGATTCATGATAGTATATTGTATTTTAAACATGCATTGTAGATATGGAATTATCTTACAATAGATGGTGTGTGAGCAATGTAAAAATAGGGGTAGGGACGAAGTGGATATCTCAATTTTTTAAGATATCCTTGATCCTTTCCATTTCGCATTGATAATTAATTTTTTATTCGATTCCATGCGTAATATTTTGAATATTTGGTATTCCGGATATTTATAAAATTAGTATTATTATTGGATATCCAATTCGACCCATTAAAATAATAATAAACTATTCTTTTGAAAAATTAAACAAAAGAGAAAATTTTACCATAAAATAATATTTTCACTATGAAATTTTAAGAAACTATATACTTTTGAATATTTAATAATATAACAATTAATTTAGTGAATAAAATATTAGAAACCCTATAAAAATATAACATTATATAATATATAATTTTATATACATGCATATATATATATTATATAACGGATCAAATCTGATATTTATTTTTTAAAATATTAGTATTTGTGATTGGTTTTGTCTTTGATGGATATTGAATTTTAGTATTGTTTTGATTCGTAAAATTATGATATCTAGATTTTTTGATCAAATCGAAATGAATAACGAATCAAAACAAAATTTACATATATTTTATCTACCACCTCTATGTACAAATAAATAACCAACTTGAATAAGAATATAAATATTTAAAAAGAATTTTTAAAAGGTTTTAGATTTGCTAGATAGCATTGGTGATCAACTTACACTAACTCAACTAACACGTTCGCTCATTATTCACTGTGATTCCGTAGTCTGCGATCGTGATTTTGATTTTGTTTGAAAACCTAACATACGAAAATGGCGTTTCCAACGCTGTTTAGACTTTTTTGTTGGTGTGGGGTGAAAATGACGTGCTTAAATAATTTAGCCAACAATAATCACGAGATGACAATTAGTATTTAGTTAAATGATGACATATATATATATATTGCTTGATGGATAGTGACCAAACACGCAAAACTAATCACGTGCAAAGTAGTTATTAACTTATTGTATACTGTATTAGTATATCCCTATGCATCTTAGTTTGCATATATCTCTAACACATTCGTATATGCAAGGTCATCCACGGTCAAACCAATATATGGGTATGGAGTTATCTAACAATTTTTTTTTTTGATAAGTATGTGAATTCTCATTAAAATGAGTCAAATTTGTACAGGTACAAAAGGGAAATAGATGGAGTTATCTAACAAATTCGTATGGTGAAGAAACAATCATGGTTTGGAGGAGGAATGATGATTCAGTGAAAACTACACATCGGAGAAATGATTAACATGCAAGATTCATATGAATACATGTCACTAGTATTGATTTTTAATGGAACACACATGCACATTGCATATTTGTTTCACGCCACTAATCATATTCTTAAACAGTTTGATGAGAATCTACTCCATCCTGATGAGGTCATGTTACTTAAAAAAAAAGGTTTTTAGACTCAATCTCATCATAATTCATAACATGTGTAACATACAACTAGTTAATAACTAACAAAAAGTGAAAAGCAAATGATTTTGAAAGTGCTAGAACCCTTTGTTCAAGGCAAGAATCCAATTATATTCTTCTCCCAACAACTCCCACTAGGGTTTTAGGATATGTTATGTAACAATATATTTTTCTTTAATTCACACGAAAATGAAAGTTTGGTTTTTCAAATTTAAAAGGATCGGATCTTGGCAAATAAGATAATTGCCATTAGCTTTAGAAAAAAACAAAAAAACAAAAAAGAGAAGATTGACGTTACAAAAACAAATGAAAGTACACATAAAATAATAACACAAGAAACATTTTACACGTGCAGGAAAAACGAGATGTAAAGTGTGGTCTGTCCAAATTTCGCCGTTACGTTGCCAGCTTTTCTCTCGCATGTTCACGAACGACCACGACACATAAACAACACGCGATACACGCACACACTCAAATCTATATATATAAACCAATATATATACAAATCAATCGACTAGCTCAATCACATCACCATCCATAACTTCAGAAGCCTTTACTCAACAGTTAAGAAATGGAGATGCAAACTAATTGCGACTTGGAACTTCGCCTTCTTCCTCCTGCTTGTGATTCAACCAGCTCTGAAAACCTACAACCAAAGCAAGAATCTCAGAAAATGGTTATTTTCTACAACGGCAACGTATATGTTTCTTCAGATCTTACCCATCTCCAGGTACTGCAAACATGCATTTACTAAATTGTATTTTTTTTTATTGAAACCAACCCCATTGAGGGAGTTTCAAGTTAAGGTTCTGAAATGTATGCATATAAATTTATTTGTATTTTATTAAGTGTGTCAAAAATTTAACATTTTACTAATATTTATTATTTGACGTTTTGAGAAATCTTGTGAGAATATTCTGATTAGACTTGCTCTAACAATGGTTGTTTAACTTGGTCCAGGCAAAAGCTATACTATCACTAGCGAGAGGAGACATGGACAAGAGATCGTTGTCATTGGAAAGTTCAGACGGATCGGATCCTTCAATAATCCCCAACAGTTTGACCCGAAAGGCCTCAATGAAGAGATCTCTTCGTAATTTTCTTCAGAAACGGAATGTTCGGATTCAGGCGTCTTGTCCTTACCACCATTCTTGATAACTCTATTCATTTGTTTTCAGCTTTTTATCATTTTAGACATTAAGTTAGCACACTTTCTTGGTTTATATGGATTGCTTTTCAGTATTTTTGACGGATTATAAAGACTTGAATAGCTTCAACAGTTTTGATGTTTCAGTTTGGCCAATAACTTAATTATTATGTCAAATTTAAACCACTTAAAACCAGGAAACGCGAAAACTAATTATTACATCGAATTATGTCAGCGTAATTGCTATCGATATTTGATTACCTGCAGATAGGACGAAGTTTACCTTTAACTCTTTGAATTATCTCAAATTAAAGTTATGATTATTGGAGGGTATAAGTGCCGGTGCAAAAGCCATTTATCAAAGAGTGAGCCGGAGTTTTTGAATACTTTGGAGCTTATAGAAATAAATATACAGAGTTATAGTACACATATACACAATTAAATAAATAATATTGTAGATACAAAATGTATTTTCCACACTCGTTTTCTAGGTACTTTAAGTATACACTAGAAACTGAAATTGATCCGCACGTCTCTGTTTATTTTTACATTTTTATAAATTAAGATATTTATTCATAATTAAAATTATATATTTTATATGTCTCATCATATAATTAATTGAATATTTTTTTAAATCTTATACATTAAACTAAACCTAAATTAAATTGGGTAATATGGTTACTTTTCGTTATTTGGTTATTTTTAGATTGGTTTCAAGATGTTTGGATAATATAATTATTTTTTGTACAAATATCCAAATATGTTTCGGATACGTTAATATACATTAATTTTTGGATAGTTAAAATTTTTACATATCAAAACCGAATCCATAAGAACGTAAGATAATAAATGAAATGCTTACAATAAATGAAGTAATTATTTTAAAAAAAAAACAATAAATGAAATGAATATTTAAAAGATAATAAATCAATTAATTAGAATTAATTAAAAATAAATTAAGAATGTATAAAAACTCACTTAAAAATAGTAAGTATTGTTTTGTACTTCTATTTTAATAAAATGGATATTTTCAAAGTATTTTGGTTCTTTCACAAATATTATATTTACTTTCCCCACTTAGTTTTTTATTACAAGTCTATGTTAGGTGATATACATTGAAAATTAGGAAATTTGTCCAGCAAAAAGGTGGGTCAAGCTGCGGTTTGGAAGCTTTATGGAAAGCGGATTAAGATCAGTAAAGAGATTTAGTACTGATTAAGAACATATCGATGATGATGGAAAGCAAGATGAAACAACTAGAGAAAGAAGTAGGTGGTGTGGAAGAAAAAAAAACGAAGAAGTTGCAAATTATGCTATAGGAAGAAATCAAAAGAGTCTTTGTTTGTTGAACATTAAGAATCAAAAACTTTGATCACCTAGCGAAGCAAGAGCTTAGAAGAATGACTTGTTGAGGCAGAAAAGGCAAACATTATGCTGGCCCCTTTTTTTACTTTATACGTTGGCGTTCCGGTATACAACATTTCGTGACCTCTTTATACGAGAAGATATGCTAGATTGTTTAGTGGCTTATGGGATGTGGTTTGACTCCTACTCTTTAATTTTTCTTCCATAGTCATTTTAAGTTAATGGCTACAAATTAGTTATAAATGTGCTAGGGGCAACTTCAAGTTAGGTACTCACTCTGTTCTACTTTTTTAAATTTGCTTATGCCCATTTGTACACTTGCATATATCACTTGTGGAACATGTGGCACACTAGATGAGCTTTTCTGCCGATAAGTAAGAAAAAAATAGCCGGAATAGCAGAAAAAAACTACTTGGCTGTTGAAATTTTAAGTTGAAGAATCATAAACGTGCAAGATTAGTCGCCACAAGTTTAAGATACGTTAGAAGATCTAATCAAACACTTGTACCATGAAATACAGACCAGCCGCCAACGTGTGGGATCACATGAGCTTTGCTATTGACACGTAGTAGCTTAGCTGCTTAACCAACAAGAATGATGATCTGTTGTCGATGGAACACTTGTATATTATATAAGTAAGTGTAATTTTACTATTTTTTTATTTTTTTTTTTTTTTTTCTTTGTTTCAATTATTCTTCTATTGTTGACCTCATACAAAATGTTTTGCAATGTCTGACTGAAAAATACAAAATGTTTTGCAATGTCTGACTGAAAAAATGATGAATTTATTAGTTGACAAAAAGTTTTTTTTTTGTCGATTAACAGAATCATTCACGCATGGAAACTGACTCTGCCTTAATAGAGCTTTGAAAAATAAAATAAAAATTGATTGATATTTCTTTTGTAGCCAAAATAAGATACATTAAGAAACGGATAAACTCAGATAAATCGTTTTGATTCAATCTTCAAATGGCACTGTATCTCTGTAAATTTGAAAGTACGTTAGGTGAGGCAACAAAAGTAATTCTACTATTAAAATAGATACGTGGAAGCGAAGCTATTGAATATACGTTGTTTTATTTTACTTTGTTGTGCTGTCAAAACGTGGAACATTTTGTCACATGATAGCCTCTGTACCTTGACCTAAATGTTCTTTTTTCCGATTTGCTTATATCATCACCCTATCGACAAGATTTTTAATTTTGTTCCTATCTTAATACACATATTATAATGTAATGTAATTTGTACACTTTCAGGTAAAACAAAGGATTAATCATTGAATAATACATGCGTAAGATGATTGGGGTTTCATTTCCACGTAACTCAAAGTTAATATCACCATGGCACGACAAATCGCGAAGCGTGGTCAAGATTCACAAGCAAGATTTAGTGGTTGTCAAGGGCTTAATAGGAAACTCCTGAGCTCAATAATTCAGATTTTATGATCATAATTCACAGTATATAAAGTGCTCCAGCCATGCACCTCGAAGACCAAACACACTACACCCTCAAACTCATCACGAACTCTCACGGAAAATGACGGAAATGCCCTCGTACAGTGCTGAAAACCCTAATCTCGAGCCTATTAAGGCCAAGAAACAATACAACATATACTCTTCCCTGTTCCCTTTCCTCTTATCGATCTTAACCTACATTTTGATCTTCTACGTACTTGATGTGTCTCCTTTTTCGATCTTCAACGACACAAAGATCTTGTTCTTCATCTCAAACGCCCTTATTCTTATCATAGCAGCAGACTACGGTGTGTTCGCTGAGAGAGAGAACCACGACTTTTACGGAGAGTACACGGCCGCGATGAGAATTGACCCTAGACGGGAACACTCGGGCTATGAGATGGGTTTGGTGGAAGTAACCATGAAACGTGAGAAACAAGAAAAAGCAGTTAGAGGGAAAGAACCAACACGATATCTGCTTCATAAAGAAGTGGAAGTTCCTGAGAAGACCTTACAAGTCGTAAGCGAGAACAAACTTATCGAAAAACACGAGCCGGCGACAGAGCGGAACAGTCATAAAACCATTAGTAAAAGAGAAACTTGTGATGCAAGAAATCTGGTGAGCCCTAAACCGTACGGGAGAAGCAAATCGGACAAAGCACGCTCAGAACGTCGTCATCGAGAGACCAAACATGGACCTAAAAGCTACGGTCGAAGCAAATCTGAGGATAGCTCGAGATGGATGGTCGTTCACAAGTGGAAGAAGGCTAATGAGGAGGCGGAGGAGAAGTGGGAGAATGTTAGTGAAGAGTCAGAAGAATTCGCGAAGATGTCGAACGAGGAGTTGAATAGACGAGTTGAAGATTTCATCCAACGGTTCAACAGAGATATCAAACGACAAAATTTTGTCTAAGTTTAGTTTAATGTAATTTAATTTGTCGTAGCAAATTTAGTCAACCTTTCTTGGTCGTAGCATCTTGTTTATTGTTTTTGTTTTGCCTTTTCATGCGCTTGGTGATTAATGAGATCATGGAAGAGATTATCGTTTATGGTTTTTTAAAAGAGAGATTGTTTGCCTACTAGTTTAACTTATATACATTGATTATTATCATGTCAATATAGGACTAAAAGTGTTTAGTCAACGCCAAATTTGGAATTTGAACGTTTGTTAGGTCGGTAGAAAAAACGTTTATGTTTTATTTCTTTGACAAAACTGTTTCTTATGACATTCTTTCTTTCGCACAAAATAGTATTTCAAAGACTTGATGACAAAAAAAAAAGTAATTCAAGACTTTCTTTACATTTTTCATCAAATGAGAAACGCATCACACGTAGATGCCATTCTTATTTGTTGAATCAGTACAATGAATCTGATATGTAATGATAGTTTGGTCTCCTCTATTCAATATTTTGTTGTTCATCATCTTGTTTATTGTTGGGATTATTACTCTGTTTTAATCATCCATCATTGTATTTACTTCATCAACTGAACCTGAAGTTACCTGGCTTCTTTAGTTACCCTGACATGATCATATAAATTCATGTCCTTGCAGTGAAGTATGTGAATCCAACCACAAAACAATGTACTGTAAGATCATCAAGAGAAGATCAGATGATAAGTTTGGTCAGAAGCTTCGGATACGAATAATGTAATCTCAAATTAGCCAATCATTGAACAAGAGAACTGCCACGTGTTTGGATGTCTTTTTAAATTATCCATAGCAAAAAAATAAAACACTTTTGCAATCTAAACTCACCCAATCACAACAAACGATAAGTCCACGTGGCAGTAACACACATCACCTTCTTCTTTAAGGCCACTTCATCTCTCTCTCCCTTCTCTACTCACTTCCACCATGTCTGCAGCACTGAGCTCATCTCTCTACATCTCCCCAAAGAAACCTTCATGTCCACCACAACAATCTATACCCACGAAACCCACCACCAACAAAACCACTCTCCATTCCCACCCACTCTTCACCGTAGCCGACCAAGCCGTAACCCTCCAGATGAAAGAGAAGATCCTATGCCTCGAGCTCATGGGAATCGACTCCGGCAAAGCCCTCTCTCTAAACCCTTTCCTCCGCTCAGCTTCCCTTGACTCCGTCGAAGCCGTCCTCAACTTCCTCCAGTCTAAAGGAATCTACCCAAACGACCTGCCAAGAATCTTGGGGATGTGTCCTAAGATCCTCACTTCAGACATCAGAACAGAACTCAACCCTGTTTTCGTGTTCCTGTGGAATGATCTCCATGTCCCTGAGAATGGGTTCAGAAGAGTGGTCAAGAAATGCCCAAGGCTTTTGGTTAGTAGTGTAGAAGACCAACTCAAGCCTGCTTTATTCTACTTGCAGAGACTTGGTTTCAAGGATCTTGATGCTCTTGCTTACCAGGATCCTGTGTTGTTGGTGTCTAGTGTTGAACACACTCTCATCCCAAAGCTTAGGTAAATAAAATAAAAAATATCATTTACACCCAATAAAAAGGTTAGGTTAAAAAATTCACTCTTCCTTTTATTTAATGTTAATTGAGAAGTTAAATTAGACTTTACATTTTGAATTGTTTTTTTGGTCAGATTCTTGGAGAGTATAGGGTTTACGAGAACAGAGGCTATTGGAATGATACTTAGATGTCCGGCTCTATTCACATTCAGCATAGAGAACAACTTTAAACCAAAGCTTGATTACTTCATGTGCGAGATCAAAGGTAAAATGGAGAGTTTAAAGGAGTTTCCGCAGTATTTTGCGTTTAGTCTAGAGAAAAGGATAAAACCGAGGCACTTGGAGTCGATGGAGAGAGGTTTAGAATTGCCATTGTCGTTGATGCTTAAGAGTACTGATGAAGAGTTTGAGCAGTTGCTACTGCAAACAAAGCCCTCTTCAGTGGTGATTGTGTAAATCTTATTGTTGTATATGGTGGAGGATGTTATCTTGTTTATTAATTATTACTAGTAAGTATGTTAACATTGTTCCATGTGTATGTGAAATTGCCAAATATATGGTACCAGTCCAGTCACCGGAATGAATTTGCGCTGACAACAAATTCAACTAACCATAGGTTCATCTTTTTATCTGTATCGCTAAACTAAATTTTAACTCTATTTGGAAAAAAAGTTTGTTGTGCTCTTGGTGAGGTAGACATATACTTGCAGTTTTCCCCTGAGGTATAGTTTATAAAAAAAAAGGATTTTAGTTTGGAAAACAAATACCATATGCAAATATTCAGATAAAAATAGTTGAAAACTAGATATTTGTAACTTGTTCAATTCACCCAAAGACTTATGTGATGATTCTTCTTGGCTTCACCAGTATATTATATTTATTATCTTTTCTACATCAGCTTAAGAATTAGTTCCTTCCAAAAAACTTATTATAGAGTATAATCATGTAGAACATATGGGTTTAAAACGCATATTAGAACATCACCCACACAGAAAGAACAGAAAACTCAAAAACATAGAAAAAAGAAAATTCAGATGTTGGAGAGGTATGAATGGGCTTTAGTGGGCCTCAGGTTAGGAGTTTATTTTTGTTAGCTAAAGCCTCTTTTGATATAATTTATTTTTGATATCGATTAATAAAATTATCATTAAACCCTACTCAAGTCTTAAGCCCTAAAAAGCGGTCGTAAGTAACTCGGTCGGTCTTGGTGGAAAAATCATAATTTATGCATTTTCATGGCTGAGGTTCCTCTTCGTCATTAAACAAATGGTTTAATTTTATACATCCCCTTGGAAAGGAAAGAATAAAAGTCAGCTGCTTTTATTTTTCTCGGTTCGGATTTTACAAATCGAACAAAGTCTTTGGTTCCTCTCTATCTTCCTCTGTTATTCGGATCTGTAAATAAGAAAAAAGATGATATTCACGAGG